AAAACAGTCCGGTTCTGCCACCGTATCACACGCAGCATTTACGATAAAACACAAATCCAAATGTCAGTTCTCCCATCGTATTACACACTCAATCAAACTTCTAAAGTATGCCTCATCCACTTTTTCAGTTTCGTCTTCCTTGCTCAACTTCTCCTATTGATTGATAGGAGTGCTTACTAACATGCAATCTTCATACAATTTTTTTTTAGAATTTCCCTAGCATATTTCTTTTGACAAATGAAAACTTCATCATGACTTTGCTTAGTCTTCATTCTGAGAAAAAAGATCATCAGTCCAAAATATGTCATCTCAAATACTTTCATTATTTCCATATTAAATTCATCAATCAAGATTGCATTATTTCCAGTTACAAAAAGATCATCAACATAAAGAGATATAACAAAAATATCAATCTCACAATGCATAATGTAAAGAGTGGACTCTGTTAAACTTTTAACAAATCCTAAGCTCAATAAATGGTTATCTACCCTATTATACTAGGCTCTCAGATATTGCTTCAGTCCATAGAGAGCCTTTTTGAGGAGATAAACCTTGTCTTCTTCTTCTTTCTTCATAAAGCCTTCCGATTGTTTAACATATATTTCTTCTTGCAAGAAACCATTTAGAAATTCTCATTTAATATCTAACTGGTACACTTTCCAACCCAATTGTACTGCAACAACCTGATAGTATCTAGCTTGGCCACTGGCGCAAAAGGGTATGAGTAGTCTACTCCAAAAATTTGAGTGTAGCCTTTAACCACTAGCCTTTCCTTGTGCTTGTTGATGGAACCATTAACATTTAGCTTGGTTCAAAACACCCACTTAACACCAATGATTTTTCTACCTTGAAGTCTATCAACAAGCTGCCATGTATTATTTTTCTATATCATGTGCAACTCCTTCTTCATTGCAACCATCCATTATTTATCGAGTTTTGCTTCATTAAAATCAGCAGGCTCACAAACAGCAATATTGCATCTTTGATAGACATGAGAAAGCAATCTAGTACCTCTGATTATAATGTCATCCACCATGTCATTTTCCCAATCTTCACTACTTTGTCTCTCAACATTTTAAGCTGATTTGAGGCTTGATTTGACACTTTTAAAGTCTCCTAGATCCATTCTTTATTTTCCACAAAGTGCACATCTCTACTAACGACAATATTTAATGTTTCTAGTTGAAACACTTTGTAAGCTTTGGATATTATGATGTAAGCAATGAAGATGCCTTGTACTACCTTCTTGTCAAGCTTATCACACTTAACTTGAGGGACATGGGTGAAACACAAACAACCAAATACTTTAAGATAGTTTAAAGAAGGTTTATATCCATACCAAGCTTTGAATGGTGTCTGATTCTTCACTGCTTTTGTGGGAAGTCTGTTTTGAAGAAAAACTGATGTATTTGTCGCTTCAGCCCAAAAAAAATTTGGTAAGTTCTTCTCATGCAACATGCATCTTGTCATCTCCATTATGTATTTATATCTTCTCTCACTAACTCCATTTTATTATGGAGTGCAGGGAGAAGTAAGTTAGTGTTTTACACCCGATTCTTCACAAAAGGAATTAAATTCTCCAGATGTCTATTCTTTTCCATTATCAGACCTTATAACTTGAATATTGCAGCCACTTTCATTTTCCACCCTTTTCTTGAACTTCCAAAACACTCCAGCAACTTCTGACTTGAATTTTAAGAAAAAAATCCAGAAAAATCTTGTAAAATCATCAATTAAGGCAATACAATAAAGGTTACCGTTGAGAAAAGGTGTTCTTTGTGGTCCGTATAAATCAGTATGAATTAATTGAATCTTTTATGTTGCTCTTCAAGCTTATTTTGGAAATGGTTGTTCGTGTTGCTTTCCATATTGACATGCTTGGCAGTGAGGAAGAGAATCTTCTAACGTAGGTAAATCCCTCACTAGTTTCTTTGTTTGAAGCAGTAGTAATCCTTTATGGTGATAATGACCAAGCCTCTTGTGCCATATCTCCGTGACATTTTCCTTGATAGGAAATGAAGCTTGCTTCTCCTCCAATGGATTAAGTGTGAAACTCTTTCCCCTCATCTTGAGCTTGAACATTTTTTGGCCAAAAACATCCTTTATGAAGCAGTATTTGTTTTCAAAGTGTACCTTGAAGCCTTTCTCCGTCAATTGACCAACACTTAAGAAATTTTGGTCAATTTTTGGAACATAGAGAACATTAGAGATAAGTTTTGTATCCGAACAACTTGCAATTGCAATGGTGCCTTTTCCTTTGACAGCTATATATTTACCATTTCCAATTCTAACTTTTGAGGTTTCTGAACTCCTTAATTCCTTAAACAACTCATTGTCATATGTGATATAATTAGTGCAACCACTATCAATTAACCAACTGTCACGTGAATCACTTCCTGAGAAGCAAGTAGCAACAAAGAGTTGGTCCTCGTCATCCTCCTCTTCTAGATCAACAACTTGAGCGTCTTTTTCTTGCTGTTTAGTTTCAGTTCTACAAATTACAGCTTCATGACCAAGTTGATTACACTTGTTGCATTTTGCATCAGGCCGTCTCCAACATCTAAAAGAAGGATGAACCATTTTGCCACAGTGTTGGCATGGAGGATAATTACCCTTTGAAATTTCGATCTTGTTCTTATTGTTACTTGTTGTAGCATCACCACTTGCAACAAATTTCTACTTGTTCTTTTTATTCCACATTTTTTCTTTGTCTTGACGCTTGGACTGGTGATCCTCTCATTTTGGCTACCAACATTGTACAACTACTGCAAAGAGACATCAATCCCTATATTCGGATTGTAGATTTATCATCCCACGGTCGCTGGTGCATTTCCCTCGATTGGTTCTCGTGGTTCCCTTTACTTCATTCTAGAATCATCAATTTCTTGCCCCTATTGATGACGTTGTTGAGTTCCTGAGTTGGAAGCACAATTCCACTGGTTTTCTGAATTTAAAGGATGCCTGGCGTTTCAAGTCCAAGCAGTATCAAGATGTTAATTGGAGCAAGGCCATTTGGCACATTAATATTCCCTCTAGTAGATCCATATTTGTTTGGAACATGATTAACTTCAAGATTCCCACAGACGATTTTGTGATGAATTGTGGCATCTCCTTGGCCTCTCGTTGTTCTCTCTGTTGGGTTGCAACATAATCTTTTCAACACCTCATTTTTTATTATAGGTTTTCCAATTGTCTTTGGAGGTGGTTGATGAACAAGTTTAATCTTTCCAACAAACATATCTCCATTGTTGGTTGGCTTGAATTTTGTTTTCGTAACAAATCCTCTCAAACCTCTCTTGTTCTCTGTGATGCGGTCATCAAAACACTTGCTAAGATTTGTAATCCAGAAATATGGTGAAGCACAACAACCGCTTTATTCCTCCTGCTATTGTCATTGATTGGATCATGCATCAAGTTCAAATGTCGGGCAATTCTTCTACAAAAGCCATTAATATCACTATGTTGGATTTCTACTTCATCAAAGCTTTCAAAGTTAATATCTTCCCTCTGAAAAGCTCCGTCCATTAAAGAGGTTATTTGGACTCCTCCGTCGTTCGGTTTAATTAAAAGCAATTATGATGGGGCTTTTATTCATGACACTTCTAATGCTGGTGGTGGTGGCATTTTTCGGAACCATAAAGGAGATTTTCTCCTAGCTTTTGCAGAGAATATTTCGTGTGTCTCTTCTATTCATGTAGAATTTTGTATTGTTATTAAAGCTATGGAAATTAGTATAGATAGGAGTTGGACAAAGCTTTGGGTTGAAACCGAATCTAGTTTGGTTGTCAAAGCTTTTTCCAATCAAATTTAGTGTCTCTTATTTGGAACATACAGAATTTCTATCTTCTCCATAATAGATTTTTTCATATTCTCATTACTCATATTTACGGGGAATGTAACTCTTATGCTTGTTTTTAGGCGAATTTCACGCTTAGCATTAGTGATACCATTATTTTTTATTCCATCTCTTTGGAAATTATGAATGATTTTGTAAAGAATAGGTTTGACATATTTTTCTTTACGTTTTCGTAATCTCGGGACTAACTTATTCCCCTCTTTTGTATCATTTTTCTTTTTTATATATTGATCTTTATTAAAAAAATTATAATATTATAACCTTAATCTCTTTCTCTTTTTAATACTTTAATATCTTTATCATTAATATATATGGTGTCAAAAAAGAGTTTGTTTCGATCTTCTTTAAATTGTTTGCAGTTTACGGTAAACTCCAACAACACAAATAGATATACACAATTTCTAAAATGTCTTTAGAAATCAGAAATATATTTCTGGTGCGCATCTATGCACATATAATTTATTCGTTTTTGAGATTCGCCTTATTTTACGATAAAATTTATTTTAGAAATTCCCTAAAATACATTTCCAGTAGTGCAACATATTCCTCAATATCTTGTTTTATGACTAGTATCTTTCACTCCTCATTCTTAATGCATATTACTTGGTTTATGTCTCTTGGTTTTCTAATCCTACTTTTAGTAAGTTCGTAGATATTATGTTATTAGACTCTAAGCTTAAAAATTTGCAAGAGATTATGGAATCTACTATTTCAATGGAACAAACATGATAAAAGGCAAGACATTGGAGTACAAATTTATTCATAGAATCTGGTATTTCTGAAAATTTTTAGAAATGTATTTCTAAAATAAATTTTATAATAAAATAGTGTGAATTTCAAAAACGAATGAAATATATATATATATATATATATATATATATATATATATATATATATATATATATATATATATATATATAGTACGTATCCAAATATATTTTCAATTTTTAAAGATATTTTTAAAATTTTGCATCATATAGATATGGAAAAAGAAATCCTCAAACAATATCTTGAGTTAAACACCAGTATTTTAAAAGATGTTTTCATACTTGACATTATGACAAGTATCTAACCATCTATGACAGTTATATTATTTAAATTTTCTAAAATTTCTAGCGAAGGTAAGGAGCTTCATAAATAAAACTTAACTTACTGTAACAGTGACATGTCTAGTTTCATCACCACTACCTAAAGAGAAAGTTGAATCTATGGTCCTGTTTCCATACTCAACACTAACTCTATATTCTCCCAAGAATCCATAAAAGCTGTGTGAACCATGCTCTTCTGTGACTCCCTCTACACGACCAGTTTGCCACTCTTGAAGAAGCTTGTCCACCATATCACCTGATGGTAAGTTCTTCAAATCATTATCTGTAAGACACATTTGGTAGCATCCATATGGATGAAGTGCCGTCCATAGCATTATCCCATTCACCGAAGGATGCGAGAATCCTTCCCTCAACACTTGTTCCATATAAATTGCCTGAGTTTCTTGATCAACTGTCTTGCTTATATCAATCTCAGTAAGCCAAATGGGAAGATCCAGTGTTGCAAATTTGTCTAAGATAGCTCTGATAAGCGGTGGATTCGGTATCGTGAAATGACCCTCCAATCCAATACCATCCATAAACACACCATGTTGTCTAAGTTCTCTTATCTTTAAGATATATGCGTCAACACTGGAATTTACATCATTGCATGTTTCTACAACATTGAAGTCATTCATAAACAAAGTTGCTAAAGGATCTGATTCATGTGCTGCCTTGAAGAACTGAAATGTAGCATTTGGCCCGAGCCTTTGTTCATAGAAATCAAAATGAAGCATTTCGTTGCTAACATCCCAGTGTATGAACTCAGTTTTGTATTGGTTCATGAGACTTTTTATTCTAGAATTCACAGCTGATTCTAGTTCTGTACCTGTAAGGTTAAGAACCCAGGAAGGTGAGTACTTAGGATCTTCCCAGAAGATATTGTGTCCTCTAGCTATGATTTTGTTGGATCTAATAAATTCCATCATTTGATCTGAAATTGTATAATTGACTCTTCCTTGATGAGGTTCTGTGGCGTACCATTTGAGTTCGTTTTCGAAGACTGCAGCGTTGAAACGTTTTACAAACCAGTTTTGATATGGTGTGTTGCCAAGAATGGTCTTTGCTATTGCAGAACCTATAGGGAAGTCTTTTGATATTTGCTCTACACGCACAGAAGCTCCTGGTAATTTCTTTCCATTTGTATCTGATACATGAATCGTGACCGCGCGCTTTCTTTTCTGTTAAATGCATCAGAGAAAACCAAACTATAATTAAATGCGCAAACACAAGACACCAACATAACACTAGTAATAATGTAACTACGTGTCAATGTTGATGTCCATATACACTAGCACATATCACACATCAGACACGTCAGACACATCTCAAGACATCAGACACTAAATATTGTGCTGACACTATACTGACCCATCAAACACTAGACATTACGCTGACATCAGACACTATAGTAACATATATCAGACATCGAACATTTATGTAATATGAAATTTTGGTGCTCCAATTAATTTCATTGTTTAGCTTGGACTCACAGTGTTGATTATATATTCTTGATTGAATCTCCATTCCTGTTTAGTAAATGGCTGTAGTGATAAACTTGCTATATCGATATCAACATCTTTGCCATCCACATTCTGCATTACCAAAACCAAATATCTTAATAAAAATAAATTAGAAATATGCGAGTAAAATAAAATATAGAAGAATTCAAACAAGAGACCTGGAATATTATGGTGGATGAATTTGAAGGTGAATTAAGAACAAAACCACCCTTAAGAAAAGACCAACATCCATTCTTGGCAGAAACTGTCCCAATACAATTGTATGTATCATGTTCTGCTTTCAGTCTTGCCCTTATCATAACTGAATCTGAACCTTCAACCCTCACCCATGCTGCCACATCATCATAAACAATAATACTCATATATTAAATTCAATTAAATTTAATTGTCATCAAAATTTCCTTGAGTCTAGTTGGTTAGAATACTCGGCTCTCACGTAAGAGACCCGGGTTCATGTCCTGGCAATGAAATCATTTTTTATTTTATTTTTGATTTATTAATTAAAAAAGTGCTGCAATCATTTTTTATTTTATTTTTGATTTATTAATTAAAAAAGTGCTGCAATGGATGAAATAGTAAAGAAGAGAAGATAAAAATGTTACCAGAAAAAGAATAGATAGTGTCGTGGGTAAGATTATATATGACAAGTGAAGAAGACATATCGATGTTATTATGTTTGAAAATTCCTCCTCCATAAAGTGGCTTCTCAGGAAACCCTTGGCACTGTGAACACAACACAACACAACACATTGACATTGTGATAGAAAGTAGGTAGAAAACAAATAGAGAGTGACATTTTAATTACCTGAGTGTATGCAGTTGAGTCATATATGGGTCCATCTGCAAAAACAAATAAGACAAATAAATAATAATGTTCACCTTAAAATATGAAGAAAAGTGAATAGGAATAGTTAATAACCATAGAGAGAAGAAACCCTTAATAATGTAAAGAGAAGGAAGAAAAGAGAAATATGTTGCAGCATGTTTGAATGAAGTGTGAAAGGCAGTAGTCGAGGTATAAAACAAAGAAAATGATAGAGCTGGATGCCATTCCATCGCCCGTGCTCTTATTCACATGCTAGTATATATATTATCAAAACTTCTACTGTCCCACATTTATAATTCACTACACGCTTTGCTTTTGTTTTTTTCATATTTTGTTTGCTGCTCACTTGTGACAAGTAAACTCCAGGAATGGGCTGAGGATGGGGATATTTTTATTTACTTATTTTATTATATAAATATAATAAGTACTTATTAATATTAATCTTTAAAGTATATTGAAATTTGTTAATTTATTCTATCATATTTTAATACTATGGACTAAATTAATAAATTTTGTTTAATTTAGTAATTTATTTTATACACTTTCTGGACTGAATTAATACTTTATTTTTTTTATTTGACTAAAAGAAAAATGAAAAACATTTCCATTTTATTTGACTAAATTAAAATATCAAAATTATATAAATCAATATATTATTGATAATTTTTAAAGATTAGTAAATAAAATAAATTTATTAAATTTATTGACCACTTTTCTTTAAAAAAATTAAAATAATTACAGATGTTAAACGGTAATCCACGTACCGTGTCTGGCTCACAAAAACTTGTAAAAAATGAGACATGATAGGTATCTGAAATGAAGTTGGAGCAGGACAGACCCTAAATCAAACATATTAGAGGATACGTATCTGGAATTATTGTTTCATCATATGAGCTGTACTCATCTTGCCACCATATATCTTATAAATTAATTTTTTAAAAATTTAACATCAATGAGTGAATCTTAACTTTTTGTTAGTTTTTTAATAAATGAAAGATAATGTAATTTTAACCGTGTATATTATCTCATACTCATTGAAATTTTTAAAATTAAAATAATATTTTTATAATTGTGTATATGAGAAATGTGTTACGTATAAATTAATAAAAATAATTTTATACAAATCTTTGAAAACGGTTTATTTTACTAGTATTTTTTAATAAAAAGATCATGAAATTTTAATAGTTTTTGTTAATCTTTATTTATTGAAATTAAATTTTAATTTTATTTAAATATTTTATCAAACATATATTTAATAACTATTTAATTAAAAATATGTGCATCACACTATAACTAATGGATATCTACGAGTTTGTTATTAGTTGATAATAAATTAATAATATTATAATTTGCAGATGATCACATTTTATTTACCTGTGATTTGTGAGAAATAAATTCGAGAAATAAATCAAGGATATGGAGATATTCAAAAAAAATTATTTATTTTATTTTAAATTTAGTCATTCAACTATATAAATATAATAAGTAGTTATTAATATATACAAAATTAATTAATCTTTAAAGTATATCAAAATTTGTTAATTTATTCTCTGATATTTTAATAGTATGGACTAAATTAATAAATTTGTTAAATTTAATAATTTATTTTATATAGTTTATGGACTAACTTAAAACTTTATTTTTTATTTGACTAAAATAAAAATAAAAGATATTTCTATTTTATTTGATTAAATAAAAATATCATATTTTATGGATTAAATTAATAAACATTTTCATTTTATTTGACTAAATTAATATATATATATATATATATATATATATATATATATATATATATATATATATATATATATATATATATATATATATATATATATATATATATATATATATATATATATATATATATATATATATATATATATATATATATATATATATATATATATATATATATATATATATATATATATATATATATATATATATATATATATATATATTATCAATATTTTTTAAAGATAAATAATAAAATAAATTTATTAAAACTATTGACTATTTAAAAAATATTTAAAATAACTACAAATATTAAACGAAATGGGCGTACCGTTAAGTCTATCTCAAAAAATAAATAAAATATAATAGATATTGTGTATGATGCATGCTTAAAATATTAGCCTCGGAGAAAATGAGAAAAAAATTGTAGGTGAGATAAGGAGTTTAATAAAGTATGGTAAAATAGACCGTTTTTTTTAAGCCCATCCGTCAAAATATGGTAGATTATATTAGAATTTTAGATTTATCGTCAATTAAAATCTAAAAATCGTTGTTTGTCTAAAATCTGTTTCGTCAAAACTCATTGCCGATTAAACTTTGTTTTATTTATTCGTTCAGTTTATCTTATTTTAAGTCCATCATTTTTTAATTAATTTTAATAAGTCAAATTTTTGATAATTTTATTTGTATATTTATATATATGAAAATATATGTAATCTTTTTTTAATAAATTTTATTAAAAATATTTTATAAAAAATAAATGAAATATAAAAAAAAGCTTTTAATATATTAAAAAAATAAAAAAATAAAAAATAAGAGAATAAAACCGTCATCCACCAACATGTAATTTTGAGGAGACGAATTAGATTATCATATTTATTTTTATTTAACAGACTTGTCCGTCTCATTTTTTTAAATAAATTTAAGACGGGGTGCGACGGAATCGATAGTCCATTTTGCAACGCGTTAAATTTAATGGATTGGGGGAGGTGATAGAGCGTATGCCATTCCATTGCCCGTGCTCTTATTCACATGCTATGCTACTATACTATATAGATCATCAAAAGTTCTACCGTCCCATTTTATAAATCACTACACGCTTTGCTTTGGTTTTTTTTCTCCATAAAACTGTAATCTTTTTTTATATAAAAAACAAAGAATTAAATATGATATAAAATTCCTGTTTTGGACTAGGTCTGTATTTGACCCAATTTTCAGTGAGACCCAATTTTCAGTGTGTCGATCTGTACCACTGACCGGTTCTATCTTGAAATACGGCGGGCAACTACCATCTTTTCTCCACGAGGAGACAACCTCATCACATGGGAACAACACCCCGAGTAGACTAAGGACGGTCACCTCCGGCCAAGAAGGCTTCGAGGACACTCTGACTAGCTCGTCGATCAAGGCTAGTCCCTTCACTCGACTCCACGTATGGCGGGAATCACCCACGACGGGCAGATGCTCCTCCCGAGCATCCTCCTCGTAGGACTGACTACCAACGTCTCCTGATATCACAGAGTCTTCGTGGCCTCGGAAAGATCGCATCCATATCCTCTTGACCTTGCGGAGAACGTCATCCAGGTAGGGGACCACGTGCGGGTCCTCACTGCTCACGTAGGACCTGACAGTCTCTATGTTAGGCCTGCTTGACCAGCCCAATGAAGAGACCTTGGCCCAGCGTCGGGGCTATAAATACCCTCTCTTTCGAGAGAGTCAGGTATTCAACATTTTTTACTCTCACACTTGTTTGCTCATTCTGCAACTTATTTTGGCATCGAAGTGTCTTGCAGGTACCCCTCCCGCCTCTTCAACTTCTGCTCGTAGCTGTGACGGTCCATTCTGATCAAGTACGATCAGTGGCGCCGTTTGGGAATCTTGTTTCCCGGTCTTCCGTTTACTCAAGACTAAAGCTAAATCACTCTTCTGACTGTCATGGTTGATCAAACAGCAGAAAACAATATGAACGTCCGCATCACCGACGTTAACAACAACGTCACCAACAACAATGCCAACATCAACAACTCTGGTACTGTTGGCTATAACACGGCCCCCACCGTTAATATGCTCGGTCCTTCAGAGTATAGAGACGGAGAAACTGCCTCTTCATCATCACTATCTCGACGACTTGAAGATGATCGACCACCTCCTCAGAACTACCAACCCAACCAGTTCCTAGAGGTCCCCGTTCCCGCCGAAGAAGATGCCACGACCAGGGCACTGTTCGCAGCGATAAACCAAATAAATTATCTGATCTTCTCCCAAGAAGAGAGTTTGAGGGTGTTCGAAGATGCTCGGAGAGCCCCCAGAAGACATAGGAGGCCCCATTCTCCTCCTCCTCGCCAAGTAGAGGAACATCCCTAATCTCCCCCGCGGAGACGTAGGCGAGACGCCTCTCAAAGTCCCTCCCACCGATCAGTCGGGCGACGCCCCGCATTGGAGAGGGACCAGCCCGTAGACACGGGAAGACGTGGGCATATTCTCCCGCGTAAAGAGTAAAGACCCCTTAGAGACAGGAACAGGGGAGATAACGAGTGACAGTACCTCCCGAGGAACGCTCCGCGCGACCAGGGCCACCATAACCACCACTACAACAGATCTCTTTCTCGCTCGCCAGACATGAGTGACAAAGACGACCCCCACGGTCCCTTGTCATAAGCCATCATGGAGGAACCCATCCCCCCGGGCATGAAGAAGCCTCCCCATCTAAAGGATTACGACAGTATTACCGACCCGATCGATCATATAGACGGGTTCGAGGCAATGCTGCATTATCACAATGTCGGGGGACCAATAAAATGTCGGTTGTTCCCTACGACTTTGAGGAAAGCCGCGATGGGATGGTACAAGAGTCTCGCCCCGGGGTCAATCACCTCCTGGCGAAATTTAAAGAACCAACTCATCCGTTTGTTTACCGCTTCACATCGACACCCAAAGACTGAAACAGCCCTCGAGGCTATCGTCCAGAGACACGACGAGACCCTCGAGAAATTTATTGATCGATTCAACTGGGAAGCCATCCAGGTCCCCTACACCGATCACATGAAACGATACCTGCTCGAGAGGGGACTCCTCTCGGGCACGGAGTTCAGAAAGGCCGTTGGCATTGAACCACCCCGAACATTTGATGCCTTCCTCGAGAAAGCCAGAGCATACATGGACTACGAGGAGAGGGAAGCGGCCAATAGAGCCCAGGACCCCAGAAAACGTGGATCCACCAGCAATCCGTGACAACAAGACTCCGACCCCCCTCGACGAACTAGCGAGAAGAGGAGGGATGACAAACCCCAAGACCCTCATGAGCAAAGAGGACCCTCGGGGCGGTTTACCGAGTACACTCCGCTAATGACTTCCCGCGAGTGCATTTTGGCGGAGTTTGCAAACACAGATTTCAAGGACGGCGGCGTCAAGCATCCTCGC